CCTCAATACTCAATCATGTTGCCTCGTCATCGTGCTGCCTCCTAGCTCTCGTCTTCCTCCTCCGCCTCCTCCTCCTCCTCCTCCGCCTCCTCCTCCTCCTGCTGCTCCTCCTCCTCCTCCTCATCCTCCTCCTTCTCCTCCTCCCATGTCGTCCTCGTCACCCCTCCGAACCCCCTCACCAACCATCCTCGTTCTCTCCCTCCCCCGTTCCTCTTTCTTTTTTATTTTTCTACTTGTCCACGTCTTCGTCGCCCACTCCCATCCAAGTAAACTCCCCCCCCCGCCGTTTTCCTACGTAGCAACTCGCGTTCCTCACCCCGCCTCCATAACCCTCCTTTGCTGATGCCTTCATCCTCTTCCTCTTCCTCCTCTTCGTTCTCCTCCTCCCCCTCATATCAATTACGATCGTCCGGTTCCGCCTCCCCCGCCTCCTCCTCATCATCAACAACAACCCCCTGCTCAACACTGCTCATCGATCACCATCTCACTTCATTCCTTTAGCTCCTTCACAACGCTCCTCCGGAACATGTTGAAACATGTTGAAAGCAAACTTGAAACATCGAAAACCCCATGGGGAGGAGGTCGAGGAGGACGAACAGGAGGAGAATGAGAAGGAGGAGGAGCAGGAGGATGAGGAGGAGGAGGGGAAGAGGAGGAGGAGGAATAGGAGGAAGAGGGGGGGGCGGGGCGGGGGGGGTGAGGGAGGAAGAGGAAACGGAGGAGGAGGAAGAGGAGAAGGAGGACGGAACGGAGATAGAGGAGGAGGATGAGGAAGAGGAGGAGGAGGGGAGGAGGAAGAGTGGAGGAGGAAGAGAAAAAGGAGGATGGAACGGAGAAGGAGCAGGAGGAAGAGGAAGAGGAGGAGGAGGAGGAGAAGGAGGAGGAGGAGAGCGGAAAGAAGAGGAGGAGGACAAGGAGGACAAGGGCCCAAGGATGAACACAAGTATGGAAGACGTGCCCAAGGATGTGCTCAAGTACCTTGTGCGGTCGCGCATCCTTTGGGCCGTGGCCCCTTGAATGCAAGGGCGGCAAAGCTGGGCCCGAGGATGGCCCAGGGCACCCAAACCGTCGAGCATCCGTCAGGTCCTCCACCTGGAACGAATGCAGACGAAGCCCGCAAACGCCGAAAAAAATGGTTTGCACCCTGCACGTGATTTGGGTCGCGGGTGGGTCGCGGGCGGGTCGCAGGTGGGTCTTATCCACCTGGATCGAATGCAAAAAGAAGCCCGCCGCAGGCGCCGAAAATGTTATGTTGGTTTCTACCCTGAACGTAAGTTTGGTCGCGGGCGGGCCGCGGGCGGCTCGCCGGGCGGGTCGCGGGGCGGGTCGCGGGTGGGGCGCGACATGGCGACAAGGCGCGCCTATGGCTCGCTCGAAAGCGAGCCCGCGCGACCGAAGCAGCAGAACGCGACGGGCCGCAAATATTCCTGGCCCGTCGCCCCTGCCGTGAGAAATGCCTAGAAGCACTGCGCGGCGCGCCTATGGTTCGCTCCGAAACGAGCCCCCGCGACCGCGAGAGGCAGCAGAGCGCGACGGGCCACGCATATTTCTGGCCCGTCGCCCCTGCCGCGGGACATGCGTAGAAGCACTGCGCGGCGCGCGCATGGCTCGCTCCAAAGCGAGCCCCCACGACCACGGGAGGCAGCAAAGCGCGACGGGCCACAAATATCCCTGGCCCGTCGCCCCTGCCGTGAGGAATGCCTAGAAGTACTACAAGCGCCTATGGCTCGCTCCGAAACGAGCCCCCGCGACCGCGGGAGGCAGCAGAACGCGACGGGCCACGCATATGTCTGGCCCGTCGCCCCTGCCTTGCGGAAGGCTTGGCGGTACTGCAAGGCGCGCCTATGGCTCGCTCCAAAAATAGACTTCGCAACCGCGGGAAGCAACAGAGCGCCACGGGCCGCAAATATTTCTGGTCCGTCGCCCCTGCCGTGGGAAATGCTTAGAAGCACTACAAGGCGCGCTCGTGGCTCGCTCCAAAGCGAGCCTCCGCGACCGCGGGAAGCAGCGGAGCGCGACGGGCCACATAATATTTCTGGCCTGTCGCCCCTGTCGCGAGAAATGCTTAGAAGCACTGCAAGGCGCACATATGGCTCGCTCCGAAACGAGCCCGCGCGACCGCGGGAGGCAGCAGAGCGCGACGGGCCACGCATATTTCTGCCCCGTCGCCCCTGCCATGAGACATGCTTAGTAACACTACGAGGCGCGCCTATGGCTCGCTCCAAAACCAGCCCCCGCGACCGCAAAAGGCAACAGAGCGCGACGGGTCGCAAATATGTCTGGCCCGTCGCCCCTGCCGTGAGAAATGCCTGGAAGCACTAGAAAGCGCGCCCATGGCTCGCTCCGAAACGAGCCCCCGCGACCGATGCAGCAGAGCGCGACGGGCCACGCATATTTCTGCCCCGTCGCCCCTTCCGTGAGAAGTACTTAGAAGCACTACAGGGCGCGCGTATGGCTCGCTCCGAAGACAAAGAGAGCACCCGCGACCGCGGGAGGCAGCAGAGCGCGACGGGCCACGCATATTTCTGGCCCGTCGCCCCTGCCGTGAGAAATGCGTAGAAGCACTGCGGGGCGCGCTCGCGGCTCGGTCCAAAGCGAACCCCCGCGGCCGCGGGAGGCAGCAGAGCGCGAAGCGCGACGGGCAACTAAATATTTTTGGCCCGTCGCCCCTGTCGTGAGAAATGCTGGTTGGCTGCCGGTCGCCTGGGGGAGGGGGTGTAAATTAATAGGGAGCAGTGACAAACCCCTCCCCGAACGGACAGCAGGGGGTTGGAAGAGGAGCCTCCATAGACCACCTACGCCCAGAGGAATGGATAGGGATGGTGGGACTACTTGGCTGCTTTGCGCGTGAGCATGCGCGCTGGCGCGGCCGCGGCGATGCCCCCACCAACGCCGAGCAGTCATCGCAATCGCAGCCGCACGGGTTTTGCAAACCAAGTTGCGGGTGGGTGGGTGGTATGATTGCGCGAGCAGGTGGAATTGACAACTTCAAAATCGGTTGGGTGATTTACACCAGATAGGCACTCTTCTTTAAAGAGAAGTTATAACTTCAGCCCCCATCACCCCGGACTTATCACCTCCCTGGGGTGTTGCAGTTTACATATGATGACGCATCCTTGTTAATTTGCTGTATGAGTTCATAACATCCCAGCCAGATCTGCATCGTCACCTGCCCTCATCCATGTCAAATAATATCATGCGATGCGCATGCGCTCATCTAAGATGAGTTTACGGCACGAATCTCGATTAAATGGTACCATGCGGGCCACATGCGCGCGCAAGACCAAATCATTACAACACCTTTCAGTCCGAAGCGACTTCAACCTACAAACATGGAACCCCCAAGGGTTTTTTCCGATAAAAAGCTTTCAAATATTCATCCCACGCGCTCTTGCGGATTCGTAGGGAAACCACTACTTGTCTCAACTTTCCTGTCCACGGAGGCCTTCGCGCGCATATGTCGAACTTATTCCAACGCCCTCGCGCGCTTGCCAGAGGCAAGGTCCCTGTCAGATAATACCATGCGGGGCACATGCGTTGATCGATGATGAGCTTGTGGCACGATTCCCTGTCGAGCAATACCACGCGGTGCGCATGCGTTGATCGACGAGGAAAGAGCTTCTGGGACGAAACCCGATCCCAAAAAACGATGCGGGCCACATGCGCGTCATTCACCCGTGGGAATTGAGGTACCACTCCTCTGTTCCGTACGCGCCACTCTCATGCACGGAATTGAAGGGCCACCCTTCTGTTCCCGACGCCTCTCTCCTCTGCCCCTTTCGCGTTCCTGTCTTCCTCCCTCCTCCCTTCTCCATTGTCATTCCCTTCCTTCCTTTCCCTCCTCTTTGAATCCTGTTTCGTGTTTCCTTTTTCCTCCTTTCCGTCTCCCTGCTCCTATGTCCATTCCTGCTCCCTCTTCTCTCTCTCTCTCTCTCCTTTTGTTGTTCTCTCTCTCTCTCTCTCTCTCTCTCTCTCTCTATATATATATATATCGTTTCTTTTCTTATTGTCCTCGTCCTCTCTCCTTCCGTGTCGCTCTCCGTTCCTCCCTTCCTCCTTCCTCCCTTCTCCGTTGTCGTTTCCTTCCTTCCTTTCCCTCCTCTTTGAGTCAGCTTGCTCCTTCCATCCTCCGTCCTCCTTTCTGTCTCCCTGCTCCTTTCCATGTTCTCTCCTTCTCCCTCCTCTCAGCGCGGCGCGGCCGTGCAGTCGGGAGCTCATCGGGCCTGCAGGCGTTGTCTCAGTATGAGTTTTGCCAGCCAAGCTGCAGGGCGGGATGCTTGCACGAGCATGGGAGGTGGTCACGCGCGGTGCAGTGTGGTCAACTGCACCACTTAAGACTTAGACTGCACCACATAGCTTGCACAACACATTTTCAGCTACATAGATTGCACCACATGAACTGCACTACCTATATATATAGAACAACGTGGAGTGCACAACATATCTTGCACCACATAGTTTACACCACATAGACTAAACAGTATACATTACACATTCTAGATTGCACCACGTAAGTACTGCACAACATTGATGACTAGAACACACACTGGCTAACATTACTATTATTATTATTAGTAGTAGTACTACTACTACTACTACTACTACTACTACTACTACTACTACTACTACTACTACTACTACTACTACTACTACTACTAACTACTACTACTACTACTACTACTACTACTACTACTACTACTACTACTACTACTACTACTACTACTACTACTACTACTACTACTACTACTACTACTACTACTACTACTACTACTACTACTACTACTACTACTACTACTACTACTACTACTACTACTATACTACTACTACTATACTACTACTACTACTACTACTACTACTACTACTATTGTTACTATTGTTACTCATACTAATATTATTATTTCCTCCTCCTCCTCCTCCCCCTCCTCCCCCTCCCCCTCCCCCTCCTCCTCCTCCTCCTCCTCCTCCTCTTCCTCCTCCTCATCCTCCTCCTCCTCGGCGTCCGACGGGTGGCCAAGCTCGAGCGGCGTAACCTCTCCGGCGCCCTCCGAGGCCATCGGGCCGGCGGAAGCCGCCAGGAAGGGGGGGTGGCGAAGCTCGGCCTTCCCCCCCCCTGTGTAAATCCTTCAAATGGCTGGCGTCAGCGACAAGCGACGGAGGGAGGAGGGACAAGAAGGGGGAGACAGAGAGAGAGGGAGAGAGGGGGAGAGAGGAATGGGGGAGGAAACAGGAAAGAGAAGAGAGGACAACAGGACGAGGAGGAGAAAGAGCATGGCGCATGGATTGGTCTGGGTCGCCCGAAGACCCAGCTCCGAAACAAAAAATTGTGAAACACAACAAAACCATGCAACACCATGCGTAGCGAAGCGGACCAGGAGGAAGCTGAGAAAGGGGAGGATGAGGATGGAGGAGGAGTGAGGGGAGAAAGGGCCGAGGAGGACGATGGGAGGATAGAGGATGACGGAATGCGAGGTAGAAGGGGGAGGAGGCAGTTGGGGCTGCCTGCTCGCCGTGCGCTCGGGACGACGTCGTTCAACGCCAAGACCGTCGTGCTCCCCCTGCCCTTTCCCTCTGCTCCTCCCGTTGCTCATGCTCCTCCTCCTGCTGGTCCTGCTGCTGCTCCTCCATGCCTTTTCCTTACGGATAACTCCTCCCGGTCGCATCCCGAGGCCAGTCGTAAGGGCGGCCTGGGGTTTCGCCTGAGACTTCCATACCACTCATGATCCTGAAATATGAACATTGGCAACTGCTTCACATATTCAAAATGTGGCTCTCGCCTTGGCGCCACGCACATGTGTCCTTAGAAATTGCAAGAGCTTTCTGGACGAAGGGCGGTTCCATTTCAATATGTATGTATGTATGTATGTATATACATATATATATATATATATATATATATATATATATATATACAGATGTGTGTGTGGCTCTCGCCTCAGCGTCGCGCACATTCGTTTCACAGAGTGAGGGCGATTCCTTTTCAAAATGTGGCTCTCACATTAGCGTCACGCACGTTCGTCTCGAACAATAGCATCAATTTCACAGATTGAAGGCGGTTCCTCTTCAAAATGTGACTCTCGCCTCAGCGCCGCGCACGCTCGCCTTAAACAGTTGCAACAGTTTCACGGGTTCCATGGTTAACGTCCCAGAAGTGTCCTTTCCGAACGATTCAATATTGTCAGGGCGCGACAGGTTTGTTGATTCGCAGTGTTGAAGTCCCAGGAATAGTGTCCTAGCACGGTTCAGGATCGTCAAGACGCAACAGTCACGTTGATTCGTGGCGCTGGACCCCCGAGAAATGGTGTTTTGGCACGCCTCAGGATCTTCAAACGGTTGTCTCCCGACGGGGCACTTCCTTCAGCGGAAACGAATACTTGCAGGAACCTATGAAGGAGCTTGGAGGGAGAGCTGATTCCAACATCGTTGATGAGTCTTGGATTTGCACTGGTCCTCCTCCTCCTCATCATCTCTCGGTCCTCCTCCTCTCTCGTATCACTCCTCCACCATATCCCTTCTTCCCCTCCCGCTCCCAGATGCTTCTCCTCTAGTCTCGCCTCCTCCTCCTTCTCCTCATCATCATCAGCATCCTCGTCATCCTCATCATCAGCATGACCATCCTCAGAATTCTCGTCATCCTCATCATCCGTATCATGATCCTACTCCTGCTCCTGATCCTCATCCTCGTCATCCTCATCATCAGAATCAGCCTTATCTTCATCCTCATCGTCGTCGTCGTCATCATCATCACCATCATCATCACCAACGCCAACATCATCATAATCATCATCAGCACCATCATCATCGTCCACATCATCATCCTCATCATCATCCTCATCATCCTCCTCGTCATCCTCATAATCACCAGCATGATCATCCTCATAATTCTCGTCATCCGCATCATCCTTATCATGATCCTGCTCCTGATCCTGATCCTCATCCTCGTCATCCTCATCCTCAGATTCAGCCGTATCTTCATCCTCATCGTCGTCGGCGTCATCATCATCATCATCATCATCATCATCATCATCACCATCATCATCACCACCAACATCATCATCATCATCAGCAGCATCAGCATCGTCCTCATCATCGTCCTCATCATCATCATCATCATCATCATCATCATCATCATCATCAGCACCATCCACACCATCATCAGCATCAGCACCAGCATCATCGTCCTCATCCTCATCACCATCATCATCACAACCACAATCATCATCCTCCTTCTCCTCGTCCTCCTCCTCCTCCTCACCATCATCATCATCATCATCATCACAATCATCATCATCCTCGTCGTCAGCATCATCATCACCAGCATCACCACCGCCATCACCATCATCACCATCATCACCATCATCGTCGTCATCATCATCAGCATCATCAGCATCATCGTCGTCACCATCATTATCAGTATCAACAGTATCGCCATCATCATCATCACCACCACCACCATCAGCAGCAACAGCATCCTCATCCTCCTCATCATCCCCAGCCTCCGCCTGAGCCTCCGCCTCAGCCTCATCCTCCTTCACATTCAGCGTCCTTATGAACAACTCCTCCCTGTCGCACCCCGAGGCCAATCGGAAGGGCGGGCTGGGCGTTCGCCTGAGACTTCCTCACCGTTGATGGTCCCGAAGCTTAGAATTTGCAACAGCTTCACAGATGGAGGGCGGGTGGTTTTCAAAATGTGGCTTTCGCCCTGGCGCCGCGCACATCCGTCTGAAACAAATGCATGAGCTTCGAGGATGGAGGGCGGGTCGTTTTCAAAATGTGGCTCTCGCCTGAGCGCCACGCACTTTCGTCTTTAAAAACATGCAAGAGTTCCCCAAATGGGGGGCGATTCCTTTTCAAAATGTCGCTCTCGCCTTAGCCGCGCACATTCGTTTTCAGAGTTCACAGCTGTTTCAAGGATTCGCATGGCTAACACCCCAGAAATGGCGTTTTGGCGCGACGTCGGACTGTCCGGGCGCAGCAGCTAAGTTGATTCGTGGTGTAGTTCCAGGAGTGGTGTTCTGGTGCCGCCAGGGTCGTCAACCCGCAACAGTAACGATGGTTCGCGGCGTTGAAGTCCCAAGACCGGTGTTATGGCACAGTTCATGATTTTCAAACGGTTTTCTTTTCAACGGGGCACTTCCTTCAGTATCCTTCAGTGAACATGAACCCTTGTAGGGGCCTATGGACAGGGAGCTTGGAGAGGGCGTATTGAAATATCGTTGATGAGCCTTGGGAATGCACTGGTCCTCCCCCTCCTCCTACGTCCTCCTTCTCCTCCTCCTCCTCCTCCTCCTCCTCATCATCATCATCCCCACCACCACCATCCTCCTCCTCCTCCTCCTCCTGCTCACCACCACCACCACCATCACCATCATCATCATCATCATCATCATCATCAGCAGCAGCAGCAGCATCAGCATCATCATCATCATCATCATCATCATCAGCATCATCATCAACATCATCATCATCATCAGCAGCATCCTCATCAGCATCAGCATCAGCATCAGTCATCATCATCAGCATCATAATCATCATCACCATCAGCATCATCGTCATCATCAGCATCATCATCATAATCAACATCATCATCCCTTCTCCTCCCTTTCCTCCACCTTCTTCCCACCCTCGCCTCCTCTCCTCTCCACTCCTCCTCCTTGAAATCCTTCCAACGGCTGCCCGGGCTGCTCGCCAGCGCCCAGGACGACATCCCTCAGCGCCAGGATCATCGTCCAAGATATCCAACGTCTCGAAAAAGGAAGGCGGAAATCTTTCGTCCTTTCCGATGTGCTGCCAGGCTCCAGGATTGTCCAAAAACGCTCCAGGCTGAAATACTCGACTGAAGGAGCAACAGAAAATTGCATCGGAGGTCTAAGATTGTTATCGTCTTAATCGTCGCCGTCATCGCCACAATACTACAATACCACCATCATCATGAACCCTGGGTGACTACTTGTTGCGGGATGTTGACCCTTTTCGAGCAGCAAGTTTCAAGTGAGCGTGCACTTCCTGCGAGGCCTACATGCCATTTCGCTGTAGTTGTGCTTGTCATTAGTGCGAGCAATAAAATGGGAACTTTTGGGCACTGCCTGCAAAACTTCACACCGAGCACGACAGCGAAACAGAAACTCTAGACTAAGCGCATAATGACTTCAAGTCGCACTCCCGCGCCTACATTTGGGCTGCACCTCACTTGCGATCACAAACGCCAGCTCTTGACACCAAGAAGCGAATCACGGCGGCCACCTTCGAATCATCCGTGCCCCCTTTTCTCGCCACGACACCCCAGAACGACATGCTATCTTCTCCTAGCGGCGGCAATTGCTGGGAGGCTGCCACAGGCGGTCCCGGCCCAGGGTGTCCTCAGCTTTTTACGCCACTTTGGAAGACCTGTGGCCACCTGGAGCTCGTGCTGGGGGTGCTTTGGATGCCGCCTGGGCGCACCTGGGATGAAATCCAGAGGGCAACGACGGAACACAACAGCAGCAAGCAAGGAGGGAGGGGGAAGGGAGGGGGGTGGGGAGGGGGAGAGGAGGGAGAAGGAAGAGGAGGCGAAACGTGAGACAAGGCGCCATGCCACACTACCCCCCGCTGAGCAGGCAGTCCCGGAGACCCTGTGCCAGGGACACCCCTTGGCAACCCCCGAGAAAGGCGGGGCGCTCAGCTCTCCTCGGGAGGGAGCGCGCCGCAGCACGGCGATGCCCGACGCCTCGGCGCCAGCGCGCGGTGTGTGCGGTGTGCTCGGGCGAGCTCTCCTGGATCGCACGGGGCCACAGCTCGACTGCCGCGCTCAGGGCTCAGGGGCCACAGCTCGACTGCCGCGAGCCCCCGACGCCGCCTCTCCTGGTCCGTCTCTCCTCTCCGCTCCCTCTGCTCCGAGCGCTCGTGTCTGCCGACGGAGGGGTGCGTGCGCGCGCGTGTGTACGGCAGGCTCGTGTCGTGACGACCCGTGCGCTGGCTTCTGACACCGCGTGGGTCGTTCAACCTTGCACGGTCGCGGCTTGCGGATAGCCAATCGTTCCAGTGGCGGCCGATTCCGGGCCACTGGCGGCGTTCAACCTTCAACACCCGCCCTGGAAGCACCGCCGCGTCGATACGACACGGACCTACCGTGTGTTTGCGCGTGGTGGCGCAATTGATGCAGTGCCGTGTCAATGGCTAAGACGCTGGCTCCTCTGGCTGAGCCAACGGATTGCTGAGCTAGGCCAAAGAAAGTAGAGTAGATCCGTATGTATCTTCTGGCTAGGCCACAGTGGTCCTTGGCTTGGGCAGGGATGTCGGAGTATAATGAAACATACTGTCACCATCGCCGAAATCAATATCGCAATCACCGCAATCACAGTCTCATCAATATTCATCGTGTCTACTCGTGCTTTCTCAAAACAAACAAGCAAACGCATAGACTGAGCAAATGGTTCGATCGCGTGAATGAGATTGAGTATAAAGCTGCTGATCCGCGAAGTAATGCTATCATCGTGGAGATAACGCTGGCAGACATGTCTCGCACGTCCTAAACGGGATTATTGTGCGCGCGCTCTCTCTCTCTCTATCTCTCTTTATCTCGTTTCTGCTCTCTCTTCATACCATCTCTCTCTCTCTTTTTCTCTCTCTCTCTCTCTCACTCTCTCACTCTCACTCTCTCACACTCTCGCTCTGACCCCCCGCAACGACACATCGTGTCCTGATCGTCTCCTCGTCCTCGATTCACCCTGACTGCTCGTGTCGTCTTCTTCTTGACCCCCTCACCCCTCACCCCCTCACGCATCCTCGCCTTCATCTTCAGCGACCTGGCCCATTCTCATCTTCACTCTCATCCTCACCCTCATTCTCGTCCACGCTCTCGTATCTGCCCTCTTGCCCTCGCATCAATCACAGCCAGCGGCCCCTCGCACATCGCACACTGGGTAGAAACTCACACAAAGTGCTCTCCCTGAGGGCTTCCTCCTAAAGGCTGAATCCTCGGCAAGCCCTCTGAAAACGCAGGTCGACTGGACCTCCACCTAAGCCGCACTCGAGGTGCCTCTTAGTGCGGGCTCCACGCTTGCCTGACGCTGTTCCCAGCCCATGTTGATTTCTCCTCGCGTTCTCTGCTCCGCAGGATTCGACACAACATGCCTTTGAGCCCCCTGCTCTGGCCTCGCCTCGGCCTCCGACCCCCCCTGCTGGTTTCTCCTTGGACGCGTTCTCTCTTGCGTCTCGTGCCTACCTTTACATTTACCCTGCGGGCAGGAGTGTGGGTTTAGTTGCGCAGCAGGCGGAAGGACCTCACAAGGATGCGGTCCCGCCCAAGAGACCCATCAGTGGACTGCAGCCGTGCGCTGTTCGTCCAGAGGGAAGGGCCCTCACACACACAGACACACATCTTCTCGAGCAATTCGGCCCCCCTCGTTGCTGCCACGCAGCGCCCACGCGCGAGACAAATCATGAAGGACCCCACCACCGCCTCGCACCCGAGAGCCTGAAGGCTGCACGAGAAGAGAAGTCTGCGCACAACATAAGCATTCGGAGGTCTGCGTGGACACCCCCATCCCTGGCGCGCAGAGCGCGCCGGGGCGCGCCGCCGGGGGGGTCCAGCGCAGGTCCGAGATACCCGCGCGGACCTCAGAAAGCTAATACTTATGTAGCTGATTTTTCTTCGACGCGCGGCCCGAGCTCCCCCCTCCTCCAGCCTCAAGACCCTCCCTTCTCGCTTCGGACGGTAAAGGGGATCGCAGAGGGGGGGAGGGTCGCGAATCAACTCACGCAGCTGACAACTGCCTCCGGCGCCTCCTGGCCACTGCACCGAGGAAGGCGCCCGGCGGCGGAGCCGAACCCCGCTGCGCGCAGCCGGTCTCGTAGCCCCCCGTCGGCCGACACGGCGCTCGGGACCAGCTCTCGATGGCCGGAGCTCTCCGCCTCCCCGGGGCCAGCCGCCACCGGCCACGGCGGCCCCCACGAAGCGTCTCGGAGAGGGGACGCGAGGCGGGGCGGGAGGCCGCCCCAGCGAGCGAGAGGCGGGAGTGCGGCGTGGGAGCGGCTCCCATGCCGCCCTCCCGCCTCGAGCTCCGAGCCCGAACGGGGCCGCAGCTGGTGGGGCTAGAGGACCACGGAGACGAAGCTAGGACGAGGAGAAAGTCGGGACAGGATAAATCGAGAATCTTTGAAAACCAACAGCTCTGGAGGATGTCTCGGGCGCCGCGGCCTTCTCAAAGCGTTCTGGGTTCCGGAACGCTCTGAGAGCGTTCCGTAATGCTCTGGAGCGAATTTATCATCGTCCTAGCCTCCCTCCGAATCACGCCGCAACGCATCGGCAACGTGGTGTGGAAGGCGCGGAAACGTCGGGCTTGGGACCGCGCCGCGTCGCCGATGCATCTGCGAGGTGGCGCGATCCGCTGGCTCCATCGGCCCCAGCCCCGTCTGGACGGCCTGGCGGGATGTGCTGGGACTCAGAGGGAGAGAGGGAAAGAGAGAGACAGGGAGAGAAAGGTAGAGAGAAGATCGAGGATTTACAGACCCCCTTTTGCAAAACGCCCTTTGGTGAAAATTGCTGGGTGCACTTCCACAGGTGCGCACAGCACCGCATTCCGAGTGCACCCAGGCGGGATCGCCAATCGACTGCCCAAAGACATTTACCGAATGCATTCGACAAGAAGCATGTCGATTAGCGAAGCCGACTGGGAACTGCACCAGCACACTGCGAGTGTCATTGCCAAGCGAGCCGGTGCAGAGCTCCTAATCGACTTGCCTGGGTGGCTGTTCTCGCAATGCCCGACCCAGGGGATGGAAAACCTCCAACGTGGATATCCGACGTCTATTCTGGATGTCTTTCGTCCTCCATTCTGGGGGCCTTCTCCTTCCTCGGAGTAGAATGGAAACTGGGGAAGACAAAGAATGGCGTGCGCGTTTTCCTCTGGCGCGGCGCGGCCGGGTCTGCCGCGCGGCTCCTGCCGAGGCTGCCTCGCGGACGTGGATGCGCGCCAGGCTCTCCTGGATCCAGGCGCGCGGGGCACGGGGCCCGGGGCCAGCGTGGGCGGCGAAGGCCGCGCCGCTCCTGCGGCGCCTCCGCCTCCGAGACAGCTGCAGCTGCTTCTGCAGGCCCCTCGGAGAGCACGCGCGATCGGATCATCGCGTCTCTGCCTGGCCGGGCCCGGCGGACTGAGCGAGCTAGGACACACGTACACGTACGTCCTCCGCGGCCCCTGCGTCCAAACCCAGGCCAGCGGAAGCTGACCGCAAGCGTGTGCATATTGACTGTGGTTGGCCTCTGACGGACGGCTCTCCGACACCGCTCTGGAGCCTCGCCAGAACCCTGCCCTCCACACAGGTGCCGTCACACCAGCGCCCCCACGCCGGCGCCTCCAGGTCCTCCGCCGCTCACTCCGACAGCCTCAGCGCCAGGTGCAGCTCGGCAGGCCACGGCCCCTCTTGGGCGCCCAGCGTTTACCCGTTACGGAAGTGACTCGTCTTGGGCACGAGCGACTGCGGCAACGCCGAGCGGGCCCCTTGTTCCCGTAGACTCCTGGCACGATCTATTTCGGCCTGGCCGGCTGGAAGGGCTTCTCTCTGGTCCCACTAATTTGTATACATATATGTGTAACTATGTGAATATATGTATGCATATGTATGTATGTATGTATGTATGTATGTATGTATGTATGTATGTATGTATGTATGTATGTATGGATGGATGGATGGATGGATGGATGGATGGATGGATGGATGGATGGATGGATGGATGGATGGATGTATATATATATATACACACACATCTATAAAGACTAGAACCATCGCGCGCGCTTCGCGCGCGCTCAGGTTCTAGCAGGCCCCAGGCCTTAACGAGCTCACTGCTCCACTAAAGTAGTGGACCACAGAAGGCTTGAACCGGACATGAAGAAGTGTCCATAACGCTAAACGCATCATGGGCCATGAGAACGCCATGCGTGTCAAGCCGTATTCCTGAAAATTTTCGGAAAAGATGGTTGCGTAGGGGGGCGGAGGCCTGATGAGTCGGGTTCCCAGAAGGTCTTCTGGAAACATGGTTTTGGGGGGCGTCTTGGGGAGCCTGTTGGGGCGTGCCGTCGTCGTCGTCGTCGTCATCGTCGTCGTCGTCTTCGTCGTCGTCGTCGTCGTCGTCGTCGTCGTGATGTCGTCGTCGCCTCTTGGGGCGCGTCGTCGTCGTCATAGTCGTCGTCGTCGTCGTCGACGTCGGCGTCGTCGTCGTCGTCGTCGTCGTCGTCGTCATCCTCGTCGTTTTGTCGTCTTCGTCGTCGTCGTCGGATGGACGCCTCCCAACATCCGTTCAGCGCTTCTGGACATCCTCTGGAGGACCTCTTGGCCCCATCCGTAGGACGGGCTGAGGCCGATCACTAAGTAACAGACTCGGGCCCCAGCGTCCAGAGAACCCGGAGCACATCCAGGGAGCCACCATACGCTTCAAATGGGCCCTTGGGGCAACTTTGTGCGAAACGATCCGAGGAGGGCCGCTTTAAGGAGATCCGTCATGTTCCCAATTAACTTCCCAGACGAGGAAGCCCCCAAAGGCCCCCAGAATACGCCCAGGAGGCCACCAGAAGGCCTTAAGAAAGCCTGGAAAAATCTTGTGAAGCCCCCAGAGGCTCTCCCAAGAGGAGCCTCCGCAAAAAGGCGGCGGCGGCGGACGGCGGCGGCGGCGGCGGCGCGGCGGCGGCGGCGGGCGGCGGCGGCGGCGGAGGCGGCGGCGGATTCGCCCCCAATAGCTGCCCATCCAAAGACGACTGCTGAATATGCTGCGGCTCGGGCCAAGCTGGGGTGCTACGCATGCGTTGGGAAGGCGGGTGGGAGTGAGCGAGACGGCTTGCGGGCGCGGAGGGAATCTTGACCCCTCCCTCCCCCCTTTACCCCCTCCCATGGACGCGGACGAAGCGTTTCGCGGGTCGGTGGAGTGTCCAAAACGGCCTCGGCGAGGAAGCCCAAATCATTGGTTTTACTATGGGTTTGGTCCCATTTTGGCTTTTTGGGGGGTTCCCGAGGGGCAGCGCGAATTGCGACCCTTCCCTTCGTTGATCGATCTCCTCCTAGATGGCCCCAAGAGGCGCCCAGGAGGTCCAAAGAGGCCCCCAAATATCCCCAAGATGGTTCCAAGATGGCCCCGAAAAGCCCCCAGGAGGCTCCCAAGAAGACCCCAAACGGCCCCAAGAGGCCCCCCCGAGGCACCCAAGACGCCCACGCACGAGCCCTGCAGGACCGCCGAGAGACCCTCCAAGGCGTCCCAAGAAGCCTCCAAGAAACGCCCAAGAGCTATCCCAAGATGCTCCGAGAGGCATCCAAAGGACCTCTAGCCCTTTTGGTTGCCCCCCTCCTCCTGCTCCCCCTTCCTCCTCCTACTCCTTCCTCCTCCTCCTCCTCCTCCTCTTCCTCCTCCTCCTCCTCTTCCTCCGCATCCTCATCTTCATCATCATCCTCATCAGCATCCTCATCCTCATCCACAGCATCATCATCAGCATCATCATCATCAACATCATCATCATCAGCATCATCATCGTCGTCGTCATCATCATCATCATCATCAGCAGCACCAACATCATCCTCATCACCATCAGCAACAGCATCATCATCGTCATCATCATAATCATCACCATCATCATCCTATAAAACTTCCTTCTCCCCACTCCACCATGCATCCATTCAGCCTCCTCCTTCTTCTCCTCCCTTCTTCGTACGGTTCGGCCGTCCACCTCTTTGCTCCTTCACTTCCCTGATCACCTCAACTCTCCTGGACATTGTTTCTGGATGGGCTGATGGGCATACTTTTTTGGTTAGCGGCTCCAAGGCGACCGCCAGGGAGCGGGAGCGACGTCCGGGGCGGCGGAACGCTGCGAATTGGCGAACACGGCCGCCAGTGTCGGCGAGCCAGCTCGCATAACTACAACAGAAGCAACTGCAGTAGGACATGCAATGAAAGCAAACGCACGTGCAATAAGCAAAATGCTCTACATTCAGGAGCGGAGAGTCGCCCTGCTGGCGCCAGTCCGCGCGGCCGACCTAGCCCGGGCAGGTATTACCAGGGTACCACAGCCGTAACGATGTCGGCACAGACGGGGCAGAAGAGGCAAGAACCTACAGAGTGCTCACTCCGCGATCCACACCGTTGCCCATGGTGGGGCCGACCAGCCAGCAGCTCCGAAACCACTCACGAGTCTGAACCACGATGATAGGACGCGCCTGCCCAAGCGTCAGTACTGCTGCCATCGGGTAGCGGGTGAGGGTGCCAAGGTACGCTGCAGCCGCCGCCAGCTGGAAGGCGTAGAGGTGCGGCCAGGACTGGACCTGCCATCGCCAGACCACGATGAGAGTGGGTGAACTGCAGGTACAGAACCGCTCACACACTTCGCGGGCCGCTCCACAGCTGCGAAGGGGGGGGCTGGCGTGTCGTCATCGTACCGATGCCAGTAACAGGTCGGGGGCGCAACGATGAGCAAGAACACACAGGCCCATGCCGGTGCACTGCAACTCGCGGAGACCGGATGCAGAACGGACCAAGCCGACGCGTTGAAGGCTGAACCACTCAGCGCGAGGACCGTCCCACCGCCGTGTGCGGGACCGGCTGGGACATAGGCAGAAGTCGAATGGGGGAAAAACAGAGCCCCCACTCCACGAACCACGCTGATGCCCATGGTGGGGCCAGTGCGCCAGCCATCGTCTTAGGACACCGCCCGGACGCAACGATGGACGAGGACGCGAAGGCCCAAGCGCCAATACTGCCGCCGAGCTGCAACGGCCGAGGACCGTCGAGAAACGCTGCATCCGCGGCTAGCCTGAGGGCGCTGGGGTGTAGTCAGGGATGAACCTGACCTCCGACACTGGGCAAGATGCCCAGAGAAGGCGAGGGAAGGGAGAGGAGAAGGAGGAGGGGAGGCGCGGCCGACAGCCAGAATCACATGTAATTGACGCAGGGGGAGAGGGGAGCCACTTCCCACGGCAGTGGCGGTCTCGTGGGGGGGAGACCCGCAGCTGCGCTGGGGCTGATAGGGGATACGCGAAGCGTCTAGAATAACATCTCTCCCCCTTTTAATCCACAATGGGGAACTCATTCCCGCCCGCTTTCAGGCTCAATTCAAGCCCTCCCCGTATGAAATCACGGCGAAGAAATCACTCTAGGGCCCACCTCTTCGGACAGACGTGTCCTAGTAGTCAAGACGAGTGAACTTTCGTAACGGGCAAGTAGCGGGAGGGGGGGCAGTAAAAAGGGGGCGACCGAGGATTGCAGCGCAGTGGCCCCAGAGGGGCCCTAACCGTCTCTCAGCTGCCACCGCGGGCCCAGACAGGTGCTGGAAGGGTGCGCGCGCCTTCACTCTCGATATATTTGTCCGCCCCCCCCCTCCCTCGATCCTCACTGGGGGCCCAACCGGCCGCGATCTCGCTCATCTGGTGCCCCGTGGGGCACCCCGCATCCCCAGAGCGCTCCGCGAGGTCCGCAGACGTCGGCAGCGTGCTTGGCGGTCGGCGTGGACGTCGCAGGTACCGCCGAGGCTCGCTGCCGTGGTCTCCGCAGCGCACCACGCGCATAGGGCATCTATGCACTACCGCCGTGCCTGACCAGGGCCATCCTGGGCCCTGGCACGGTGTACCGCCATCGCGCTATCACCAGATGCACCAAACAAGACACGAAGGGGCTTCTCTGGCCACGGCGAGCATCGGCGACGAACAGATTCCCCGACCAAGATCTCAAGAACGGCCCGAAAACGGGAGCCCCTGCTGAACCCAGAGGCCAGAGGCGTCCGTATTTCGGCGTCCTGACTGTAATGCGCCCTCCTATCCGGGGCCAGGTGGTCTCTAGGCCACCCCAGTTCGCGCCCTCGCGACGCCGCCCCCGAGAGGGGCGGCTCTCCAACCCAAGCCGCGATGCGAAGCGCGGTTATCCTCGCACCCCCGCGGAGGCCCATAGGTCCATACACCATCCCCGGGCCCAGGTCTGACCTGGCCAGGCATGCTGGTGGTGCACAGATGCCCCTGGCGGACACATACAGTGGAGGCCAGTCCACAAGAAACCTTCCACAAGAAACCCAACCCTGCAACCCCAGGACGTCCATTGGTCCTTGGTGCGAGAACATCGCGCTTTCCAGAGAAAAACCATCGAGGCCCAAGAAACCCGGGGCACCCTGGAGGCGAGCAGGGTGTTTCTTGGCATGGGTCTCCACTGTAAGAACATGAGAAAAAGCCTGCTGCGCCGAGCGAGCGCACGAGCTGCGGGCGGCGGCCCTCCTCTGCCTCTCGCGTGCCTCGGCTGCTGGCGCTCCCCGCGGCCGCGTGCAGGCTCGGCTGCCGCTCCGGACTCGCCCCTTCGCCCTGGGCGGTTGGGCTCCTCCGGCTCCACGCCTGCACGGGTGCGCCAGGGAATCTGGGCTCTCGTGCCATGGGTCCACTGGTCCGCGCGCAGGAGGGCTCCAGCGCGCCAGGCTCGGCGGCACCGGTCAGCCCCATGGGTCTTCCATGTACAGCTGCACCCGCCCGTCGCACACCGCCTGCCCCAGCTGCTTCCACAACTCCACTCGGGGCGAGCCTGTGCTCAGCCCCGTGACCCTCGCGATCCAGTACCGCGGCCCGACCTTTGGGACTCCGAAGGGGGGGCACCGAGGCTGGGGGCCCAGGAGGCCCTGCACAATGCACGCTGAACCTGGCCTGGAAGCCCTTCAACCTTCCCTCGGGGCCCCATCTCTCCGGACCCATGACTCGGGGGCAGACAGGGCCCCATCCAGCAAAAAAAACCCTTCGGCGAAAAAACGACCTGGGACCAGACCCGGCGGGCGCAGGCCCACATTGCGGCCGCAACGCCCTCTCAAGAACCTGGACAGGGCGATTCGCTAGTCGACCTGGCAGGGTGGGGGTTACACCAACCTCCGAATCTTTCAACCCCCGAGACCTTGTCCATGGCTATCACCTCGTTCAGGGACACCTCGAAGGCGGCCTTGGAGGCGGAGCTGGACTTGACCTCTACGAAGATGACGCCGCTCTGGGGCGCCCGCAGGAGGAGCGCAGCCACCTAGCTGGTCGATCGGAACGTACAACCAGAGAGAAGAGGGAGCGAAGATGTTGGGCGCTTCTGGGCAGCTGCCGTTCAGATGGGCCGCGAGGGTGGTCAGGCTAGGAGTCGGGGGGCGGTCTGCCGAGACAGCCTCCTGGCTGATCCTAACGGCGGCCGCTCTGAGTACCCCTCTGAATCGTGGCCGCGGCCCAGGCGCGGGCGGGAGGGAAGGGGCGCCCCTGGGCCCGCCTGCTGGCGCCGCAGCGGGCGGCCCTGCCGCAGCTCGGCTGGCCACTCCTCGCCTGGGGGAGCCGCCAGAAGGTCGAAAGGGAGGCCGAGCTCCCGCGGCTCGTTGATCCTCAGCACCTTGTAACCTGCGTCCTCCAGCGCCCTGGCCGCCACCCGCTCGCCCAGCTCGCCGACACCCTGTGCGCCGCGGCCAGAGGGCAACAGGCCCTGCAGGAAGACGCCGTCGACGCCCATCCGCACTGGCCGCGGCAGCTCGCCTGGAGGACGAAGAGACGAGAGATGACAAGCATGAGTTGGCGGTCATGCTGGGAAGGGGGATCTATATTTTGAGGGGGGGTCTGCTTCGAGCTCTCTTGAAACATTCTGGGGGGTCTGGGCAACAGGCCGCCCTCTCCTGCCCGGTCTGGGAGGGGGTCACACAGCGCCCGTCCGGGAGGGCCGTGACTCCCCACCCTCTTGCCTCTTGTCACGGACTGCGGACCACTCTGATGTGGCTGCTTCTCTTCCCCGAGCGCCCAGGGCTGCCGCGGGCACGCCCCGTGGGCGAGCGCCCTGCGCCGCGCCCGCCCCGGACGCCCCGCCCTCGCCCAGCAGGCGGCTCTCGAAGGAGGCCCGCGCCTCGAAGCCCGGCGCGGCGGGCGCGCCCGCCGCCGCGGCGCGGGGCTCCGAGATGTCCTCGACGTGGGCGGCCGCGGCCTCGAACGGCGACCGGCTCTCGAAGCGGACCCCGTCGTGCTGCAGGGCCTCGGCCCTGCGAGCTCGCTCCGCGGCGTCGCCCCTGGCCGCCTCGCCCGCCCCCGCGGCGGTGCCCTCCAGCGCGGCGCCGTCCCGCGGGCCGTCCGCCTGTCGGCGGCAAGACTACGTCTGGTGTGCGGCTTGGTGCAAACCGCGGGGGAGGGGGGAATCCAAGCGCGCCAGCCAGTGCAGAACGGAGCCCTACACATGTGGGCCCGCACCAAAGGGCACTCTGGCGAAGGGCACCTCTTGTAGGCGCAGCCATGCCTGCTGCCGCGCGAGGAAGAGGCTCTGGGAGCTCCACGACGCGGGCGCCAGCCCGGAGCGCCGCATGCTCGGGTTCAGGGCCTGCCAGGCGCTGCTGAGCAGCTCCTCGGCGTCGATGCCGCTCTCGGGGGCGCCGCCGCCGCCCTCCAGCGCCCTCTGGAGCGCGGGGTCGCCCGTCTCGCGGAGCGCCTCCAGCACCTCCGCGCTGCCGAAGCGCGCCAGGAACTCCTCCCAATTCCCCGGCCGCGCCAGCTCGGCCCGCGGGGCCACGTCAGCGTCCTCGGGCACCCCGCGGGCGCTCGCGACGGCGATAGACTCGAGCAGCTGCCCGTGGAGCACGCCCGCGAGGTTCGCTCGGACGCTGGCGTAGGACGGGCGCTCCGCCACGACGCTGGACGCGATGGCCTGCGAGAGCGCTTGCTCGCCTGAGGGGGGGAGTGTAGGAGGGGGGCTGGCTCGGGCGGGGGGGGAAATCGATCTGGACGCGGCAATACATCGCCGATAGATCGGCGATGGGCCCCCGATACCGAAAACCGCACGGTCCTGGGCGGCGCTTGGTGGCCGATGCATCGCTCCCTGAGCTGCAGCCATCGTGCTGCCATTAAGCACGCCGAATAACGAACGAAGGAGCTTTTCTGGCAACGGCGAGCCCTTACCACGGATAAGTTCCCCGACCTGAAAATCTGAGGAACGGCCCGAGACGCCCAAAGGCATCCTCATCTCGAAGTCTTGACTGTAACCCCCTCCTGTCGTTGCCCCTGCTCGCCGAGGCCCTCCGCTGCCGACAGGCCCTCGCGGGGCCCGCCGGCGAAGCCCCAGGCCGCGACCGCGGTGCCGCTGGGCGCGCGGCGCACGCAGGCCGCCGCGGGCTGCGGCGCCTGCACGCGCGCCACCGCGACGCGCCTCTCCGCGCCCTCCGGCGCCGGCGCGGGCGAGAGGACCTCGACCGCGCCCGCGGGCTCGACGCTCAGGGGCTCGAGCGCGCCCGCCCGCGCGAGCTCCTCGCCGACCGCGATCACCGCGCCAGCCTGGATGGAGCTCATCGGCACGATCGCGACGGCCCGCACGGCGGCGCGGACGCAATCCAGGAGGTCCTCGCCTCCCGGGCCGGCCGCCTCCCCGAGCGCGCGCAACTCGGCCTCAGACAGCTCCACGGCCAGCTCCAGCAGCTGGCGCGCCGCGTCCGCTGGGGCCTCTGCCTCTGCCTCGCTCAGCGGCAGGCCCACCGCCCGCTGCACGATGAGCCCCGAGCAGGTGTCGCGAAGCCCGCACATCTGCAGCGCCCGCGCCCCGCGCGTGGTGCCGTCGCCCTGCCTCCACCTGCGCCGGGACGTGACCGTGACCCTGGGCGACGCCACGAGCCTCCGGGCCTCCGGCAGCCACGACTGGGACTCCGCGGCTACCCGCGGGGTGAAGAGCACTCGCGGCAGCGGCTCCCACGAGCCCCAGTCCGTCTCCACGCAGCGCAGGCGCGCCGTACCCTCGAGGAAGCGCCTCAGGCTCGGCGCCGCACGCAGCAACCTGCCGCTGACGCGCAGCAGCGGCTGCGGCAGGCCTGGCCCCAGCTGGTCGTCGTGCTCCGCAGCCGCCGTGCTGCTCTCCTCCTCCTCCTCCTCCTCCTCCTCCTCCTCCTCCTCGGCTTCCGGTTCCTCCGCCAGGTCCTGCTCGGCCATCACGATCGAGAAGAGGTGCTCCAGGACCCGGGGGACGACCTGGCGGTGCTTCCCACGGTCCCTACTGTCCAGCGAGTCGATCTGCCTGAGCACGCTGATATAGTCATCCAGGGCAGGACGCTCCTGAACTCCACAGCTTCGCAGAAACTTGTGCACCTGGTCGCTATACTTGCTGAGCTGACTCTGGTGGACTGGTGAGCACACGGTCATCGGGCCCAAATAGTAGTTCGCGACTGCCCGCTTTTTCATGCTTCGTCGCACGAAGTCTCTTGTGCTATCGGGCACTGCGGAGGCGAAAGAGTCCAGCAGGTACGTGGCGTCGCCGAAGACCACGTCCTGAGGGCGGTAGAATTCTCCTGGAACCCGGCGCTTCGGGTCGTTCCAAACCTGAAGATACGCCTCGAAGATGTCACTGCGCGGGTGGTCGGGCACGAAGATCCACCGCCCTTCGGCGAGGAAGTTCTCCACCGAAGATGCCGATGGCGCCAACGACGAGGACACGCCAGTCCCCATGCGCTCCCGCCGCCGGCTGAGGTGTGCGTACATCACGGCCATGTGGGCCACCACCCGCTTCCTCTTCCTCTCCTCAGTGACACCCTGGAGCATGGCCACCAAGGTGGGACCTGACGGCGACCTCTCGATGCCCAGCTCTGGCCAGGAGTCCGCAAACTCCTGGCAGGAATCCACGAAGACGAACCGTGCCTCGGCCGCGGCCAGCTCGGGCGTCTCTCCCAAGTGGGGGGCCAACCAACCGGCCGTCGGTGGCACAATCTCGCCGCCGGCTGTGGGGAACCAGCTGGCGCGGCAGAGGGCCCTGCCAGAAGACAAGCAACAACTGCGTAAACATAGCCTTTCGGAGGTCCGTGCGGACTTCTTGGATTTGAGCTGGGCCCCCCTCCCCGGCGCGCAGAGGCGCCGCCGGGTAGTCGCTGGCGGCGCCTCTGGCGACGAGGTGGGGTCCAGCGCAGATCCAAGACATCCGCGCGGACCTCCGAAAGCTTGGCTCACTATGCTGTTTCTTCTCCTTCGACCTGCCCACGGCGGAGGGGCCCCTGCTCAGCTCGCTCTCGGCGGGTCGGTAGAGGAACCTCGCGTAGAAGGGGCCGTGCGGCGCCAGGAAGCGGACCAGCTCCTCGGCGAGCTCCCGGCGCCGCCTGTGCACCCGCCGGAGGCAGTCCATCTCCACAGCTCCTGGGGTCCTGCCCCAACCCAGAGGATCGAAAGCTCTCGCTTTGGAGGTGGAACCTCCATGCTTGCAGGAGAACAGAAAAGCATAACGGAGGAACAAAGACCTCCAGATCCTCTGGGCAGGTCCTTGGGGAGCGGTGGTGTGGGCAGGGATGGGCAGATATCGGGGGCGTCCAGAGGGTTTCGCAAATTACGGCCCGAAGCACATGCGCGGCCGAGGGGGAGACCAGGGGACGCATTCAAATACGAAAAGGGGGCCATGATATCCAGGAAGATATCATGGCCTGGGTCGTTATATACACCCCCCTACCCAGTCATCAACCCCTTTAGGACGCCCCCGAAGCTATCAGTTGCCCACAATTCCCCAGGGTTCCCCCTGGGGCACGCCGCAAAGGCGGCGGACACGGACTTGACTACTGAGAGCAGCTAAGTTCGCGCTCTCGCGCCGCCCCCCGTGGGAGAAAAGAAGGACGAGGACGAAAACAAGGAATCGCGAGCCGCGAATATAACCGCGCGCCCTCGAGGCTGCCCTTGAACTACCTCTGGCGGCGGAGCCTGGCGCCGCCGCGCTGCAGGGCGCCGAGCAGCCCGTCGAGCTCCTCGCTGGTCCAGTCGCCGCCGCCGTCGGCCTCGCTGCGGGCGGCGGCGACGCGCGGCCCCGGCCAGGCGCCGAGCTGGAGCCAGCACCCGTCCCAGTCCTGGGCGCTCGCGCGCCGGCGGCCCGGTGCTGCCAGAGGCTGGGATCTGGGCGGTGCACCTGTTCACGCCTGGCTCTCGTTCGCCCGGCGTCGGGCCCCGGGGCCATCGCAGATCGATGCAGCTCGGAGAATGTCGCAGAAGGATGGGGTCTACTGTGGCTCCAGTCGTGACTGTCCGCGATGCTGCACTTTTTCCGCAACGTCGGATCCCAGGGGAGGCTGGGCATCGCTTCGCCGATTCCCCAACCTAGTGGTGTGGCCCTGGCCCAATTGGCAGACGCACCCCTGGATAGGTGGGGATATATGCTGTCCCCTTCGGGTTTATTCGCGGAGCCTACAGTCGAAGATAGGACAGAAGAACATCCCTCAAGAACACGCGACCCTCTGCTGGTCAAGACGCACAGAACATCCAAGGCTACCCTCCCCAGGGTGCACAACATCATTGAACAAGCACGAAGAACATCAGGGCACCCTCCCCGAACCGACGTCGACCTTATACCTCGGTCCGACTGTATCCCCAACAGGGGGGCGGGCTGGTGGGGCTGAGATACCATAGCTCGGACGGGATTGGGCTCGGCCAGACGGCGCTGAGAGGCGGCCATGACCCAAGGGCGGGCCCCAACTGCTCCCCGAAGGAGGCACGGGTGGTCTGCCGAACACCCCTCGCGAGGCGCGCGCCTCCGTCGGGCCCGCAGAATGGCGCAAGAGGCCGGGGGGGGGGGGGCAAGGGCCAGGGCGGCCTCTGGGCCACACCTGGCCAGGGGCTCCTCGTCGGCCTCTGCGTAGGCCGGCGCGGGCACGAGCCAGCGGCCCCCCCGCTCCCGGTAGGCGGCCCCCAGCAGCGGCGGCAGGGCCCTCAGGTGCAGGGCGGGGCTGGGCGAGGCGCCGACGCGGACGGGGAGCGGGTCCGCCCCCTCGCCGCCCTCGGTGGCCAGCGCCCACCAGCCTGCCCCGGCGCCGAGCTGCCGGACCATGCGATGCCTCTCCTCCTGGCCGCAAGGGGGGCCACGTGCGCACCACCGCAGGCCACCGCGCCCCGCCAGGGCCCACCCTCGGCCCCGGCTCGGTGCGCGCGCCCTCCCGGCCGAGGCCAGGAGGGGCTGCCTCGAGACCGCCCTCCTGTGGGGCGCAGGGGGGGGAGGCCCTGGCCGGGCGCGGCGGCGGTGCACCGATGCCCTCTGCGGCGGTCCTCCTCGCCGCAGGAGGCCAGCAGGTGCCGCAGGGCGCGGGTGCAGGCCACCAGCTCCGCGGGCGTGGGCGGCTCGTCCCGCGTCAGCCGGGGCAGCAGCACCTCCTGGAAGAAGTGCGCCCCGCCCAGGCTCTCGATGCCCATCTGCTCCAAGAGGAAGACCAGCCGAGCCTCCTCTCGGACCAGCTCGCTGAACTGCGGGCTCAGTGGCAGCACGTCGCCGAGAGAGGCAGCCAGCTCTGGGGGTATGTCACAGACCTGGACGTCCGATGCGGCGACGATCCTCCCGTCGGCGACTGGGAGGATGCACAGTGACCTGGGCAAATTGCAGAGGAAAAGTGGCCACCACGCTAATTCGAAACATGCCGACGTCGACCAATCGAATTACAAGCACTGATGAGATGATCGTAATCATTCGTATCGAGCGGGGTTACCATACGTGTAGGAGCGCGCACATTCAGACAAGCACGCTCCTAGCAAGTCATGCTGTGCAGATGCGGGCCAAGACATAAGAAACGTAATGCCTTCTTCCATAATAAATTCCGGCGACGATGGTGGCATCGACACGACGTGAACGGACTGGTCTGGCCAACAAGCTCGCATACCCCCCGCAATTGATCCCAGGCCACACGGAGCGTTGCCGGGCTTCATGCCGAGATACTAAAGACACGTGCGCACAGTCATATAAACTGTCCGTTGTTCCGCACGTCCAACAGGCAGCGCCGCAGCTCTTATTCGGACCGCGGGGCAGGCCGACATAGAAAAGCGGGCCAGGCAAGGACAAGAAACGGGCAGGAGAGAGAGGGTGAGGGTGCGGCGGCGCTCTCGCCGAAAACTTTCGCCCAGCACCCCTCGCCCAGGACTCTGCCCAGAACCCCCCCCCTCCGATGACCCCCCCCGCCCAAAAACCCCGTCGAGCAGAAGCGGGTCCACAACAACCACGCAAGCCCAGGGATAAAGTAAGACCTTTCGGGTACCCTCACACTGCCATCACAATATGCCCCATGTATGTCCCCACCCCGATCCCGATCTTGCCGACCTACTGGTAAAGATCTTGGCAACTTACTGCTAGAACCGACGCTGATACGTTTGCTGGGACATCGCGCCTGGCTGTTTGGGAGCCTGCTGCAACATCTTGATCAACGGCCTTGAGGCTTTAAGGGCCCTTGGGTTGGCAATGATCGCATTGGAGGCCTTGGTGGGGCACTACTGGGGTACGTTCGGGCCAACATGGGCAATACGTGTGCATGTGCGATCCAGGCGTGGCGCAGGTGTTCGCTGCCCATTCGCGTACAGGCATATATGATTGCGATCGGGCTCAAGACAGTTAGTGGCATTAGCATGACATTGTTGGCGTGCAACATAAGTTTTGGATCCGCGAGCTGTCCGCGGAATTGTTTTCCTCACCCCGTGTAATTCCAGGCCCTCCTGTGGAATGGGCTCTCCTTTTGAATTCGTTGCGACGCGAGTGTCCCTCTCTCTCCTTCCCTCCTCCCCTTGCCTCACCGTTCGGCACACCTCCCACGCGGATCATGCATGCCCCACAGAGAACATGTTCGAATGCCCCCACCTGCCTAGTTCGGCACAGCCCCCACGCGGATCGTGCCCCACAGGGGGCTCCACCTACGGCCCCACAGACAAGGTTCGCATGCCGCTCCTCGCCCGTGTCAGCACCCCTCACATGGATCGTGCTCCGCAGAGAGGAACTCCACCTGCGGTCCCAGGGAAAACGTTCGCATGCCGCCTCCCGCCAATGTCGATACATACCGCAGATTGGAGATCGAACGAGGGGGCGCCTGCTCCCTTTTTCCCTTTCTTGCAAGCCAAAATGCTGCAGACACAACACGCACGTTCAGCACTCGATTGCCAGTGTTCTACCCGTGAAGGCACGATAGGGCTCAAATCATCACGAATCAAAAACTAAAACTCGTGCGTCATTGAGGCTGCACGGGCCCGAGAGGGCCTCCAGGTCACGACAGTGACATGGCCGCGAAGCGGCTTCGAATCAACTATTTACTGCGAGCAGAAGGCTTAGCACAGATGGGGGCGGCAGCAGCTGCAACGACGGACGGCCCGACCCCCGCCTCATCGTCAGGGTTCATCTCCTCGTCGACAGACGGGAAGCGGTAGGACCGCGGAGCCCGGAACTTCTCCATCATCATGCGAATGAACCCACGCTCACCCTCCTATCCCCCCAGCTCCTAGTTGCACCACTCGCACAGTCGATGGCCTGCCTGAACTTTGGGTCGTCAGGCATCTTCGATGAGACGACGCTCCACGTGTCCGACATCTGACTGTCCTGAGCAGCCCTCGTAGTTGTGCTCGGCGGGAATCAACAGCGCCTCGATCGCCTCCGACATCCCGTCCAGCAGCTCTGGACCCATGCCTCTCAGCATCGCCGCGTGCGCACTGTCCCACGCCGCAAAAAAACATCGCGGCCGAATCCTCGACGATCGCGGCAATCCTGATCGCGATCTTGCCGGCCCCCTTGCCCCACGTCGCGGACACCTTGTCCCTGCGCCCGCGGTCCACGACATCCGCGAGCGTCAGCATGTTTGTCGCCACCTTGCACGTAGATCCTGAATGTCGCGCCAGCTCCACCGGAATGCTCTCGAACATACTCCGGACCTCGTCCTCGGCGAGCTTGCTCTCGGACTTGGCCATCGTACTTCTCTAGAGCCTGGTCTTGTGGCGCAGGTGCAGCAGGAGACCTGGCGTGACCAGCCCGCTTAGCTCGGACCGACAGAAGCTGGCGACGGACCCGCACATGTGCTGCTGCTGCTGCTGCCATGGCTGCTGGTTCGTCAGCTAACTGATAGCCCCCGCTCGTCATCGCAGCTCTCAACATGTCGACTAGCTCGGCTTTATCTTTCCCCGGGGCATCCGCTAACTGCACGGCTGACGGAAACCAGCGGCAGCTTGCCCCCAGACGTCGCGCGCTCTTTGGCGGTGGCCAGATCCACGGCCACCCGCCTGTCCGGACAGGCCCCCGCGCCCCCACAACAGATGATGCGATCGCACAAGGATGCACATTCCGTCAAAACGATGGAAGTCAGCACGGGTCGAAACTCGGATCGGCAACGCAAGAAGAAGCCCCTGGCGCCCCCAAGGTCAGGCGCGTTAGGCCGCCCATCCGGGCCGGGTCTCGGCGCGGCTAGGGTCGAAAACGCCGCCCGTCGCAGGCGGTGGCTTTTCCAGACTAGGGGGCCCTGGGGGCTCAGCTCGCGCATGTTCAGGCTCTCATCGGCCGCCGCATTTGCGCAAGCTGCCGAAGCCCAGGACTTCGTCGCGTTCTGGTTCGAAGCGTCGGCGTGCATGATGATTCGAAGTCGCCCGATCGGAATCGGTTGGACTTTCCGGGAGAGGCTTAAGAGTTGTTTCGCACGGAGCACGATCGCGCTTCCGCGTCTCACCTCGCCCACCGTGGGCCCGGGCATGCACGGCTGACCCATGGGCACCTGCGCCGCGCAGCCAGATCTGGCCGAGACTCACGAGCAACCCAGTCACCAATGCCAAGCATCGCCCTGAAATCAACGATTTCCTCATTTGCCGTGGCCGGACCGCCGGGAGGGGCCCGGGGTCTCACGCCGGCCGATTTCATTGGCCTGGCGAACTCCTGTCGGGACGCAACGATTTGTCAATCGACGTTTGGCCCCGGACAGAAAATGAGCCGCAGAAATTCGCCTCGCCGGTCTTTCCCTCTAGAAGCGGAAACTTGGAACTGAAGTACTTGAGAACGACTTGATACTTTTCCCTTCCCCACCAATCAAGACGCGGCCAATGCGAGTCGGGGTGAAGCCGCGCGGCGCCCAGCCCTCGACCGGGAAGAACATGCGAGGGTCGAACTCGGACTGGCGCCAGCCTCCTCCACCGACTTTGGGCTTCCAGTCCAGCGCCGTCGTCCGACACTTTCCCCGCCGCTGAGCCGGGGCGCGGCGGGGCCCGCAGACCAGCCAGATGTCTTTGAGCAGTTGGTCGGGGCGGGGGCCAGGATGGCCACCGCGCGGCCGATTCAAGAACTGGTGGCCGCCGTCGCGCCTGGCGGGGCCCGCCTCGGGGAAGGCCCCCTCCGCGTCGCCGATATGGAACTGAAAGCCGCGGGGCGCCAGCAGCAGGTGGCCACTCCGATCTGGGACAGCGTCGGGGACGACGTGCTTCTCTCCCGCGCGAGCTCCAACAGGTCGGGATCCATGTAGCCCCGACTGCGCGGCCGCCCAATTGACTACCTCCGTCTCCGAGTTGCCGAACATGCGAATCAAAGACATCCTGCTGCCCGCGATCCTCTCTGGGTTCGCCCGCCGAACGGCATCTGACTCTTCTCTGGCCACAGCTGCCAAAGCCTGCTCCTCGTTGATCACGTCGCCCCTCTCCGTCCTGACGCTCTCGTTAATGTCCCCGCGCCCTCCGAACTCGCCCACTTCGGGCCCTTGCGGTCGAGCTCCCTTCCACCGACGGCCAGCGCGGCATCTCCCAGCATGGCATCGCTGTCCCGGTCGACGCACAACACTCGCAGCTCTTTCTCGTTCTCCGCGGCGTCGGTGGCCATGCTCGCCGCCAGCGCGCTGCGGCAGTCCTCCTCCAGGCGCGGCGCCTTCGCCAGTCGCACTGGTTCTCCGCATCAGGCTTCGGCATATTCCGAAGACGAGCGAATGTCGAATCGACGGGCCTCTGCCTGACGATGCGTCGATAAAATTACCTCCTGGTCGGCCCCTGTGACGGGCTCGTCACGCATTGCTTCCTCCGAGCTGATCCGGGGGCAGCTGGCGTCGTCGAGCCCGGAGCCTCGGTTTCTGGGGGGCATCTCTGATCTGCCAACCGCCGCTCCTCGAGGCCGCTCCGCTGCTGCGATGTCCATGGTGCCCTCGTGGTTCCTGGCCGTCCATGGACTCCTATGCCATGGCGCGCAGCTCTGGCTGAACCGCCTCGGCGGCGAGCTTCTCCTTCTGCGGGGCGCGACGCAACTGCGCTGGCGACGCCTCGACGATCGCGCCCGGCATCGCGACCCGACAGTTGCCTTTGACTTTGCCCGGGATCGCGGCTGACCCACGCCATCGGGCATGAGCCTTCTTGCGCGGGATCCCCCGGCCATGCCGCCGCGCCGCCGCTCGATCTCCAGCTGGGAACGCATGGGCGACTCTGGGGCGACTGCCCAGAGCCACTCTGGCCACGCGAATGCCCGCGTACTCGGCGACGGCCAGCCGCGAATTCTGCCTGCACTTCTCCACGGCGGCGATCGATTCGTCGTGGAATCTCGCGCTGCTCGCCGCGATGTCTGGCTCTTCCTGCGTCGCGTCCGCGGAGGCCTCCGGGCTCCTGCCCGGCGCAATCTGGCACGGCGAGAATGAACCTAGGGGCGCGTGGTTTTCGGCCCGCGCGCGCGACTACCGATCGCCCTCTGACTTGGGCACCATCTGGTCCGTGGTTTGGTTTAGATGAACCCCGTGCGACCCCGCTTAGGAGGAAGCCTCCTACGGCGCGGGCGCAGTGCTTGGCATCGCTTGGCATTTGGCATTGCCTGGAAATGCTCGGCATTGTCTGGCATTGCAAGGAGCGGGCGCAATGAGAATACGAAGCGCCGAGGGCGGGGAACCCGGGGGGCCCGAGGAACCCGGGGGACCCAGGCAATCCGGGGAACCTGGAAAACCCAAAATGCCCAGAATCCCCGGGGAACCCGAAAAGCCCGGGGGACCCGCGGAAAATACGGGCAACGGACAACGCAACGATAGGAAGCACCCGGGGCGGGGAAACCGAGGGCCCCGGGATCCGGAGGAACCCGGGGAACCTCCGGGCAACGGGCAAAGTAACACTGAAAAGAGTCCTAGCGAAAGATTTGGGACAAATTCTGGGCCGATTTCGGTGGCCAGCTGGGTTCCTGGGCCCCTGGTTCCGGGTTCCCGGCTTCCCTGGTTCCGGGCCGATTTCGGCGGGCGGCGGGGTTCCCGGGTTTCCGGGTTCGCGGGTTCCTGGTCGATCTCCTTATCGATGCGTTTCGCCATCGAAATCAATGCCCACCTCTCTACCGATCTCTGAATCGATCCCACACTCGATCTGACTTTCAATCTCACTACGGATCGCACGAGCGATCTCGCGATCGATCCCTTTACCGATCTCACTGAGTCAACTTCGCGATCGGTTTTCAACCCATCTACTGATTGGTTTTTTTCCTGGCGCACTTCTTCGCAACCAACTAGGCAAGCCAAGTTGGCGAAATATCCTCGAACGAAACCCCATGGCGTTCGCCGCGGCCAACCTGCTCATGGGCGTCACCTGCGGCGCCGCCTGCCACCTCTATGCTCATTGCTCATCTTCTCGAGGGCGTCGAGGATGTCCAGGCATGGGCTCGCGCGGCCAGCATCGCACTTGAGCAACTTGGGGGCGCCGCAAGGCCGCGCCACTTGGATTCGAACAGCCACTGCAACAGCTTGCCGGTCTCGGCCTCGAAGAAAGGGGCCATCTGATGCGGGCCACTGCTCGGGCAAGCCACGTTGAGCGCCTTCGCCTTCATGCTTACAGACCAGCAAGGCAACTTTTTCACGTCGATCTCCGTTTTCTGGCACCATCCTGGACGGCATCTGCACTGGCCGCGCGGGCGCGGGAAGCCGCCGACCCTCGCGCGCGGGGCGCGAAACCTTCCGCGCCATCGCCTGCGCCATCTCGCTCGCCTTGGCGCGCTTTAGGATCCGCGCCAGATTCTCCTCATTCGGGTGGCCGGGGTTCGCGCGGAGCCTCGCCGGCGACGTCTCAAGCGTGAGCTCGCGGAGCTCGATGACCTCCTCATCCTCCGAAGTCGCCCCTATTGATTCCTCGCGAGCTGTCGCGACGCAACTGATGTCCATGTCCCCCTGGGCATCTGCGACCTCTCAGGGCCCGCTTGATCATGCCCGCGTTCGTTGCAAAACACCACTCCTTCGACGTTGGCTTCTGAGGCGCCAGGTCCTTGAGACCCCGACCTGGCAACCATTCGCGGAGACGCAGTGCGCGCCAGTCATGGCACGCAAGCCAGCGACAGACGCTCGGCTCCAGGACTTGGCCGACGCGGGGGCCTCCGTCGCGAAGCACCGCCCTCCTTGCATCTGCAAGCGAGCAACCTCCGCGCAAAACCTGAGGCAGCCCGCCGCCTCCTTCGCCGACTGGCGACGCTTGCCTGGATTGCGGCGGGCGTCGTCTGAGACAGAGACAGACAAGTCATGCGCCAGGCGGTGCGTGGGCGCGAGCACGAGTGGAAAAACAGCGCACTCTTATTCGGACAGCAGGGCGGGCCGACAAAGAAACGCGGGCAAGGCAAGGAACCGGGGCCGAAGGGGAAGCGAGGAGCCGAGGACCGAGGAGCGAGCGGGGGGGAGGGCGAGGGAGGGCGACAGGAAAGGGCAGACCGGGCCGACGGACGGACAGACGAGGAGATGGGGAAAGGAGGGGGAACCAAGCGAGGAGACGGAGGGGGAGCACACAAGACACAAGGCAAGGAAACACAGGGGCAAGGGGAGAGGACGCGGAAAGGGAGAGGAGGGAGAAGGAGCGAGAGCCGGAGACGGGACAAGGCAGGAAGAAGGGACGCACAGGACCAGCTGGCCGGGCGCACACGCGCACATCGGCGCTCCCAGACCGCCGGGGTGCAGGCTGCCTGCGCCGCTGCTGTCATGCTGCCGAAGATGCACGCTGCGTGCTTGGACACTTCGGGAACGAATTCCTTGCGCGGGCGGCCCACTCGCCTCGCGCACCTCTCCGTGGCCGGCCTCATGCCGGCGGCGAAAGAACAGGCGTAGCGTGAATGAGCAGGATCGGCGCGAAGCACTTGGCCGAAAAGTTGTAACTGTCTGAACAATAAATACGTGCTGGCCGCCTCGTATCCTGCTCTCGCGAGGACGTCCCGGTTGGAAATGCGCGACAGGTACGACGGCTTCACTCAGATGATCGCGCGCAAGCATCTGTTTTGAAATCCGTCGAGACGACGCAGCTGAGCTTTCTTGAAGCACGCGCTGCTGAGCCCGCACAGCAGCTTCGATTCGACGATGGAAGCATAAATGCGGAGCTTGCGGTTCCAAGTCAGAGACGACTGGGACCACACCTTGCGCAGAGCCGTGAACGATCGTCGGGCGACCCCTATTTTTCTGCCCAGCTCGTGGCTCATGTTCGCGTCAGCCATGAGCTGCGCACCCAGGTACTGCAAGTGCTCCACGTGCTTCAGCTGCGCGCCATCGGGAGAGCGGACGTCGCCGGCCGACTTCGCAGTCAAGACTCAAGACCTGGAACTTCTGCCAGTGCAGTTCCATGCCATACCGCTTGCCTGCAGCCGCAACTGCTGCCAAGAAGTCGTTCACGTGCGCGTCGCACCTGCCAAATAAAAGAGCGTCGTCGGCGTAGACGCAATCCGACAGCTCGCCCGCGTCGCGCGCCCGTCGGGCCCCTTCAGGGAGCAGCGCCACTGCGTCGTGCAGTAAGGCTGTGATCACAAGAACGAATAGCAGAGGGCTCAGCGTGCAGCCCTGAGAGATGCCTGGTACTTGCGGGCGTTCAGCCGATTGCCTTCCGTTGTCGCTGACAACGAACATCCTTTGCGCCATGAGTGACCCCACCATGTTCGTGAACTCTGGCGGGGGGCCCATCTGGCGGAGTGCGTCCAGCATGCTCTCTGTGCGTATACTGTCAAAGGCCTTCTTCCAGTCGAGAGCAACCAGCGTCACCGCGCCGTGCTTGTGCGCTCGCGCCAACTCGATCCGTCGGCGTGCGACGTAGATGGCGTGCTCCGTGCCTCGCCCTTTCCGGAAGCCGAACTGACTGTGCCAGATGCGTTCATCCACGCCCGCCTGCAGCGAGCAGGCGGTTCTTCAGCATCGCGGAAAACGCTTTCAGAGCAACGCACTGTAGGGAAAGTGGCCGGTAGTTATCGCAGCGCGCAGGGTCGCCCTTCTTGTGCAGCAAGCACGCGCGAGATAATGCCCAATCCTCTGGCATGGCCATGTGCTCCCAGGCCTCGTTGCACATGTCCAACACCCATTCAAGTTGCCTGGGCCCCTCTGCTAATGCTTTGAAGACCTCTGCTGGTATGTCATCTGGCTCGCACGCCTTGCCACATCGCATCTTTGCAAAAACATCGCGAAGCTCAGGTTCTGTGAAAGGGCCAACATCCACGTCCAGCGGCGGGAACAGCGCACTGCCCGCCCCGGGCGTGAGCGTGACCGGACGAACATGCCATTGGATATTGCTCAGATGTTCAGCGAATGTATCGGCTCTTTCGTCAGCGGCCACGCAGGCCCCCCCGAGTGTCCCGCAGGCGCCCTTGTGGGAAAGGCTTCCGTTCGGTGATCTGTTTGATCTCTTTAATGCAGTTCCAAGTGCCGTCTGCTGTCAGAGATTCGAGCCACGCCGCACGATCGCGCTTTGCCGACAATTTGGCGCGCTTGCGGATGGCCTTCTCCGCCCAGTTGCCGGCGTGCCGAGCCTCCCGCTTCTCTGCGAGCAAGGACAGCGTTGTCTGCGAGATCCACGGTTTGTTCGGCGGCCTCGGGGCGTCGGGGACCACCGCAGCCACTGCTCGCCACGCCCGCCCTGCAGCCGAACGCCAGCGTTGCGATAGGGTTGCGTCTGCTTGGGCCCCCTCGGTTGCGGCCCCGAAATGTTCCACCAGATTTTTCCGGGCCTCTGGAGTGCGCAGTGTCCGCCAAGCCTTCTTCGCTGTCCTCTGGTTCTGTTGAGACCCCGGCGCCCTGTCAAGAATCGAAGCAATAACCGGAAAATGGTCCGAAGCCAAGGTCGCAGACATATCGCTCCTGATGTCCACGAGGTCCTGCTCCATGGCACCCGGCATTGTCATCGAATCCAAAGCGTTTGAAGGTCTCCCACGTTACCGGCGAGCTCGGCGCAACGCCTGTCTCGCGGAAGGTCGCCTTAAAGCTGTCGGGGGGGTCCAACAGCGCATTTGCCACCACAAGGTCGAAAGTCATGCAAAAATCAACGCGCAAGTCCCTATTCGGAAGCTCAACCTGCTCGATTGCCTCCCTTCCAAAACTGCACTCGCCCGTGACGTCTTCCTCCCCAGCCCGTCTGCGACCAAGCCGGGCGTTCCAATCGCCGAAGAACACACGCGAACCACAACCACGGATGCGTGTGGCGTGATTGTGCAAGACGTCATAAAAGCAGACCTTCTCTTCTGTCGGCTTCTCGTTGTGGGGCGCATACGCGGTGCAAATGGTGAATCTGCCATTGGACGTGCGCAACTTCAGGGAAGCGATCCTGTTGCCCAGCTGCCAGTAACCCTGCGCACGAAGTCGCGTCCGCTGAGAAACCACAAAGCCAACCCCGGCCCATTCTGACTTAGCATCGGAGGTGCCCGACAAAATGACTAAGCACCCACTGCCCTCATCGACGTAATGGTCTGAATTCGGCTTCCGCGTCTCCTGTGAGCACATCACATCAACACAGGCCGCCTCCATAAAACGGTAAATTTCAGCTCGTTTCAAATTTGTCAAGCCCTGTACGTTCCAACTTCCCACCTTCACAAAACTGCCGCGCGCGTCGCCCTCGCGACACGTCGCGTCGTCAGTGCTGGCAGCAGCGAGGGGTGAAACACGTGCTCTGCCCATGCACCGCCCTGCCCCCTAATGGGAGGCAGGCCCTTTGCCCTTGCCCTTGTTCAGGCTGAAAGCCTTCACACTGGCAAGCTTGTCCTGGGCTTTCGTCGTAATCTCGGAAAGCTCCGGCGCCGTCTGTAGCGCCGGCCAGGTGGCCTATTTCTTGTCCAGCCACTCCACTTTCAACTGCAAGTCTTTGGCCACGACCTTCACGACCGTGGAGCCCGCCACCTGGATCGTCGAGCTCTCCGCGCCCACTTTGATGCAAGCTTTTCTGTACCCCCACTGTGAGAACCAGCGCCGTATTCCGAACAACACGCTGAGCTGAGTACGAATGTGAATCGGTAGGTCAGGTTTCGCCCACACCGCGGCCGGGCCCGGGGGCGACTTCGAGCGCCCCTCCACGATGTCCAAAACTTTCTGGCGAACCTCATCCGATGTCCAAAGAACTTCATGAAGAAGACGCCCTTGACGGCCGTTTTGAAGTCCATGTCCTGCGCTGCAGGTGGGGGAAGACAATGATCACGGCATAAATCGGTAGCCCACTGCACCGCTTTCTCGAAGGTATCGGCGTTGGGGACGTTGCCGACAACTGCCGCCGACGTGAAGGAAGCTGTCGCTGACCTCGCCGTGCGTGAGGTCGAACACCGGGACAACGTCTCATCGATCATCTTCTGCACGTCGTCTTCGGTCATCGCGGCCTTCTGATACTCAGGGATGGATGTGTCGATCATGCTCTGTACCGTGTCCCTGGTGATCATCTTCTCCTGCACCTCCACTACCTTCGCCTCCGTCCCCCTTAGCAATGTCTACGGCCTGCTGCGCTTTGGTTTTCGCCTCCTCCACCCTCGTCCTCACTGCATTCATGTCCTTCGTCATATTCGTCATCATTCACATCATTTTCGTCATCATGGACTTCATGTCTGAGCCAACGCTTTCGAGATCAGTCGAACCCTCATCCCCCGTTTCTGCTGCCTGGCTGAAGTCTGGCTGCCGGATGGGTGACTTCGGTGACTTCTCAGCGCCATCCACGCCGTCGCCGTCCATCTGATCCAAAGGTGAGTCATAGCGAGCTTGCTTACGCTCGCCTCCGACCGGGGCTCCCATGTCATACCTTTTCGCCGCCATTCAGGAGACAGAAAGAAGAACGACAAGGTAGGGTATGCGGATCGTGTGGCTTGGCCGGATCGTGTGGCCTGACCTTGAACCAGACCTTGAACCAGACCTTGGCGGGCGTCGTCTGACGTCAAGTTTTGCAGGGCCAACGAATGGCCGCGTGGAGGGCCCGTGTCCGCGCGGTCGGGCTCCTCGGTGCGAATCATATTCAGGATGCGATGTCGATCCTCGCGCGCCCAGCCTTTCTGAAAGCCGAGGGAGCCGAGACTCTCGAAACCCATGGTCTCCATGACCAGGGTCACCCTCGGCACAATGAACAGTTCCAAACAATTTGGGCGACTTCCCACAGCCGCCCTGGCAGCCGACGCTCCTATCAACGACTTTCGCTTGGCGCGCCTGTTCTTGACATCGGTGGCGCCGGCAGTCCATGCAACATCGGTGTCGTCGCAGACTCCACATTGCATCGCGCAGTCGACACTGAACCCTGCGGATGCCATGCCGCTTCCGACATCTTCGACGCTCTTCGACGCTACCCCCTGCAGATGCCATGCCGCCTCCGACATTTCCGACATTGCCCCGCGCCCCCTGCAGATGCCGTGCCGTCTCGCCGGTCCTCCGCCTCGTCGCCGTCGTCGTTGGCCTCTGGGCTCAGGCCCAGTCCTGACGAAAACCCGCCGACGCTCCAGCGACGAACGACTCCATGGCTGCAACTTCCTCGGCGGTCAATCACGCCTTCTCGGCCATCTGGATCTGCGTGCCGACCTCGTTCGTCGTCTCGCAGAGGCTTCTCAGGCTTACCCTTGCCATGTCTTGTGCCCTCTCAAGATGGTGGCCGGCGCTGTCGTCGTGGTTTCTTGCAGTCCCTGCTGACGTGTCCAATCTCGTCACAATTGTAGCACCTCGCCCTCCTGGCCATCGTCGTCATGCCGGGTTCCTCGGCCCAATCCCCGGGACAACTGTCTCTTGGATATCTTGTCCCGCTGATCTCGTCAGGTCGCCAAGATCTCTATGGCCTCGCTCTCGTCCAAGATATCCTCGTCGTCCTCGGCGCCGTCGTAGCCTTCGATAAAGGGCGTCGATGTCCGGGATGTCGTCCTGATCCTCAACCAGGTGAGGGCCGTAGGACATACCCTGATGATTGAAGTCCGCCATCCCGTTTGGATATGTCGTCCGCAGCGCCGTCGCAATGTCACGTTCCTTGCAGGATCTGGTCGACGCCGCCAAGACGAAGACGACAGCCAGGGCCTGAGGTGGCATGTGGGCATCCCGCAGCGACAAGAAGCCACGGGCCACGTCCAGCAGGACCACGCCTTCGGATTCGCCAGCGTCCGCCGGTACTGAGCTCAGTACCTCCCGATGCGACAGCGCTTGCTATCGCGCGGCACGCTCCGCACTACCAATGCAGATTGGGCTGCGATAGAGGGAGCGTCCGCTCCCTCTCTTCCTCTCCTGAGGCAAACCAAAAATGCTGCAGACACAACACGCACACGAAGCACTCTATTGTCAGTGTTCTACCTGTGAGGTCCCGATAGGGCCCAGATCAGCACGTACGGTACACCCTTCACACGGGTCGTGCCCGACAGGGAGCTTCACATACTGCCCCAGAGACAGGTTCGAATGCTGCAGCACACCCCTCACACGGATCGTGCCCCGAAAGGAGCTCTGGCTGCGTCCCAGAGAGAGGGTTCGCATGCCGCCCCCCATGGCACACCCATCACACGCATCGTCCCCCACATAGGGGCTCCACGTACGGCTCCAGAGACAGGGTGAGTTTCACCTACGGCCCCAGAGACAGGAGTCGCATGCCGCCCCCAACTCATGTCGGCACATACCCCTCACACAGATAGATCGTGCCCACAGGGAGCTCCACCTGCGGCCCTCAAGACATGGTTCGCATGGCGTTGCCCCGCCCATGTCGGCCCACCCCTCACGCGGATCGGGCCTCACAGGCGGCTTCACCTACGGCACCAGTGAAGGCTTGTCCCCGCTCATTTCGGAGCACCATTCACGCAGATCGTGCCCCACAGGGAGTTCCTCATACGGCCTCAGTGGGCATTGTCACCCGGGCGCATCTCCCTCATCCCCCTCCCACCCAAGGCCCAGCGAATTCTACGCGCCCTTGCGGATCCCTATCCGCACTGCCCCGCGGCGCGCAGTATACGAAGAGAGGGCTGCGCTTCGCGCAGCTGCCTCGTTCCGGTTGGGCCCTTCGTCAAGCGAGTTCTTGGACGGCCACCACGGCCCAGGAAGAAGAGCCCCGAAAGGCCGATAAACAACGAGACACCTCAGGACCCCCCCTTCCATCCGGACCACCTGCCCCTGCCCGCCCCTTCCACGGCTTGATGGCGGCGACCTGAGGCGCCCGATGGGCGGGTCGCCCTCGCAGGCCACGACTGAGAGCAGGAGGCGTAGGACCTGCAGCCTCTCGGCGTAGAGCCTGCACCCCCCCAGCTGCCGCCTGGAGAGCTCCTCCAGGCAGTCCATGGCCACCTGGGCGACGAGAAAAAACTGGTCTTGCGCGAGACAGCATAGCGACCTTACGCGGTGGCTTACGCGGGCCGCCAGCGTGGCACGCCGCGTGGAGAAGAGGGCGCTTACACGCGATCTTTTGTAGGAAACTTACGCGCGAATGTCCGCACAATCGACCCCGTTTTCTTCCGCCGCTCACCCGGACGACGAAGAGAAAGTCGGGTGCGCCGAACAGGGGGGCCAGGAAGAGAAGCGCATAAATGCGCATCATGGCCCGAGGCATGTGCGCGGACCAGAGAGCCAAGTCCGCCGGCCCCCTTGTGGGGCCACCAGGCTGTGAAACGAAGTTGCTGCTCACTGCACCAGTTGCAGTTTCGAGTCTCCAATGTTGCAGTCCTGCTTTCTGCTTACTACTGTAAATTGTTGAAGTCCGCGCGAGGGGGGGGAGCCCAAAAGGATCCAGTTGACCACGCCCGAATCGCGTTCTCTGAATTCCCTGGGGGGCGTGGGACACGTAAAAATACGTGAGGTTCGCTCCCTCGAGGCCATAACCCCTCGTAAATTACACAATGTTCGCGTCCCCGAGGCCACGAACCCTACTAAAGTACTCAATTATTGCGTCCCCGAGGCAACAAACCATCGTAAATTACCTCCTATTCGCGTCCCCGAAACCATAAACCTCCGCAAATTATACCATGTTCGAATTGCCGAGGAGTGCTTCAAGGCGCCCGAAGATGGTTCCAAGACGGCCCAAGAAGGCCCAAAGAGGCCCCAAGAGCGCTCCAAGAGGCCTCCCGAGAGAGCCCCAAGAGACCAAAATTGTAGCCTTCTCGCATTTTCGGCTTTCCGACGCTGCAAGACGGCTCAAGAAGCGCTTGAAACTGCCCACGAGGGCCCCAAGACGGCCCCAAGATGGGCCCAAGCAGAGGACCACGAACTTGGGGCCCAAGACGCGCCCAAGAGGCCTCCAAGAGGCCCAAAAGATAACCCACGAGGCCCCGAGAGGCCTCCAAGAGGCGCCCAAACAGCCTCCAAGAGGCCCTCTTGGGCTCCCCACGACACCCCAACACATATACAAGAGGCCTCAGAGCCACAACTTAGGCACGGTGGCGGGATGGGCCGAAGGCCACTAGAATCCGCCGCCCCCTGCTTGCATGGGTGCACGGCGTGCTGGACGTTTCAGGTTTTGGTTTTGGTTCTTTTTCCAAAAGAACTTCCCAGTGGGCTCCGGCAGAACCCGCCGGCCACCCGGAATTTCCCCAAACGTGCTCAACGACCGCAAACATGATGGACCCACGAACCCGGAAAGGGATCTAGACATGTGCAGCATGGTCACGTTTTCACGATACCCAACTGGGCGACACCTCACGAAACATCCCACGAGACACCCCGCGAAACATCCCACGAGACACCTCACGAAACATTCCACGAGACACCTCACGAAACATTCCACGAGACACCCCGTGAAACATTCCACGAGACACCCCGCGAACAGGCAACCACTCAACCAGACACCCCACGAAACATTCCACGGGGGTGCGACTGGGTGTGGTGGTGCTGGGGTGTGGTCGTGCTGGGGCGTGGTCGTGCTGGGGAGTGGTCGTGCTGGGGTGTGGTCGTGCTGGGGTGGTCGTGCTGGGGGGTGGTCGTGCTGGGGGGTGGTCGTGCTGGGGGGTGGTCGTGCTGGGGCGTGGTCGTGCTGGGGCGTGGTCGTGCTGGGGCGTGGTCGTGCTGGGGTGTGGTCGTGCTGTGGTGAGGTCGTGCTGGGGTGTGGTCGTGCTGGGGTGTGGTCTTGCTGGGGTGCGGTCGTGCTGGGGTCGGGTCGTGCTGGGGTGTGGTCGTGGGGTGGGGTCGTGCTGGGGTGGGGTCGTGCTGGGGTGGGGTCGTGCTGGGGTGGGGTCGTGCTGGGGTGTGGTCGTGCTGGGGTGTGGTCGTGCTAAGGTGGGGTCGTGCATTTCACTCGAGACATCCTGCCAAAATTCAAGGGAATCCTAGGACAACAAACGAATTAGTCGAGACATCCTTGAAACTCTGGGCGCGGGACGCGGCACGCGCGAGACATCCTCTGAATTCCTGCGCGCGGGGCGTTTTTCCGTGTCGCGGTCGGCTCTGCAAAACCAGCGTTTCGCTCGAGACATCCTCAACAATTTCTGAAAACAAGCGTTTCGCTCGAGACATCCCCAACTCTGCAAAACCAGCGTTTCGCTCGAGACATCCTCAACAAATTCTGCAAAACAAGCGTTTCGCTCGAGACATCCTCAAATTTTAATCTGCCGGCCTCCTTCGACCTCGATATTTATCAGGGAAAAAATCCGCCGGCCTCCTTCAAGTTGGCACCGGGGGACAGGTTTACCAACTAAAAGAGAACCCTGGGCCGGCGCCCTTTCCGGGAAAAATCCTCCAAAAAACGGCCGTTTCGCTCGGGACATCCTCAAAAAATCGCGAAGATGGCCCAAGATGGCCTCCAAGTCCGCCCGAGATGGTCCAAGACGGCCTCCAAAACGGCCCAAGAGAGTCCAAGACGGCCCAAGACGGCCCAAGAGGCCCCCCAGAGGCCTCCCAGACGGCCCAAGAGGCCTCCAAGAGGTCCTCCAGGAGAGTCCGAAGAGGCCAAAATCATTGATTTTTCATTGGTTTTTGAAGGATTCTGGCATTTGCGCCTTTTCGGCTCTCCGACGGCTCGAGACGGCCCAAGAAGCCCCCAAGATCGCCCAAGAGGCCCCCAAGAGAGCCCCCTGATGGCCCAAGTGGCCTCCAAGATGGCCCCTAGAGGGCCCCAAGAGGCCCAAGAGGCCTCCAACACGCCCAAGATGGCCTCCAAGACGCCCAAGATGGCCTCCAAGACGGCCCTGGAGCGCCCCAAGAGGGTCCCCCGTTGGCCCAGAAAGGCCCCCAAAACGGCTCCCGACGGCGTCAGACGTGCCAGGAACCCACCAAGATGGCCGAAGTTGGCTCGAAGCTGGCCCAAAAGGGCCCAAGAGGCCCCCAAGAGGGCCTCCAGGAAGGCCAAAAGATGCCAAAATCACTGATTTTCCAAAGGTTTTTGATGGATTTGGGCATTTCCCTTTTTTCGGCCTTCCGACGGCCCGAGACGGCCCAAGAGCCCCCAAAGATCGCCGAAAGATCGCCCAAGAGGCCTCCAAGACGGCGACGATGACCATCAAGACGCCCACGTGTTCCCCGAAGGCTTTCCAAACCGATTCGGGGAACACATGGTCCGATGGCTTGGCAGGTCTGGCCTCAACGTTCGGCCACATAGGCGCTTCCACAAAGGCAGGGGGCGGCGGTGATTCGCCGTAGGCGTCTTCGATCCGCCGCCCCCTGCTTGCAGGGGTGCACGGCGTGCTGGATGTTTCAGGTTTTGGTTTTGGTTCTTTTTCCAAAAGAACTCCCCAGTGGGCTCCGGCAGAACCCGCCGGCCACCCGGAAGGTGCTCAACGACCGGAAACATGATGGACCCACGAACCCGGAAAGGGATATAGACATGTGGAGCATGGACACGTTTTCATGATACCCAACTGGGCAACACCTCACGAAACATCCCACGAGACACCTCACGAAACAGCCCACGAGACACCTCACGAAACATTCCACGAGACACCTCACGAAACATTTCACGAGACACCCCGCGAAACATTCCACGAGACACCCCACGAAACATTCCACGACGACAGGCAACCACTCAACCAAGGCGGTGTGGTCGTGCTGGGGAGTGGTCGTGCTGGGGTGTGGTCGTGCTGGGGGGTGGTCGTGCTGGGGGGTGGTCGTGCTGGGGGGGTGGTCGTGCTGGGGGGTGGTCGTGCTGGGGCGTGGTCGTGCTGGGGCGTGGTCGTGCTGGGGCGTGGTCGTGCTGGGGCGTGGTCGTGCTGGGGTGTGTGTGTGTGGTCGTGCTGTGGTAAGGTCGTGCTGGGGTGTGGTCGTGCTGGGGTGTGGTCTTGCTGGGGTGGGGTCGTGCTGGGGTGTGGTCATGCTGGGGTGGGGTCGTGCTGGGGTGTGGTCGTGCTGGGGTGTGGTCGTGCTAGGGTGGGGTCGTGCTGGGGTGGGGTCGTGCTGGGGAGTGGTCGTGCTGGGGTGTGGTCGTGCTGGGGTGTGGTCGTGCTGGGGCGTGGTCGTGCTGGGGTGGGGTCGTGCTGGGGTGGGGTCGTGCTGGGGTGGGTTCGTGCTGGGGTGCTCCGCACCCTGTGATTTATCGATCGGGTCGTGCTGGGGTGTGGTCGTGCTGGGGTGTGGTCGTGCTGGGGTGTGGTCGTGCTGGGGTGTGGTCGTGCTGGGGTGTGTGCTCGTGCTGGGGCGTGGTCGTGCTGGGCGTGGTCGTGCTGGGTGTGGTCATGCTGGGGTGTGGTCGTGCTGAGGTGTCCCGCACCCTGTGATTTATCGATCGGGATTTCAAAAACAAGCGTTTCGCCTGAGACATCCTCAAATTTTAATCTGCCGGCCTCCTTCGACCTCGATATTTATCAGGGAAAAAATCCGCCGGCCTCCTTCAAGTTGGCACCGGGGGACAGGTTTACCAACTAAAAGAGAACCCTGGGCCGGCGCCCTTTCCGGGAAAAATCCTCCAAAAAACGGCCGTTTCGCTCGGGACATCCTCAAAAAATCGCGAAGATGGCCCAAGATGGCCTCCAAGTCCGCCCGAGATGGTCCAAGACGGCCTCCAAAACGGCCCAAGAGAGTCCAAGACGGCCCAAGACGGCCCAAGAGGCCCCCCAGAGGCCTCCCAGACGGCCCAAGAGGCCTCCAAGAGGTCCTCCAGGAGAGTCCGAAGAGGCCAAAATCATTGATTTTCATTGGTTTTTGAAGGATTTTGGCATTTGCGCCTTTTCGGCTCTCCGACGGCTCGAGACGGCCCAAGAAGCCCCCAAGATCGCCCAAGAGGCCCCCAAGAGAGCCCCATGATGGCCCAAGTGGCCTCCAAGATGGCCCCTAGAGGGCCCCAAGAGGGCCCAAGAGGCCTCCAACACGCCCAAGATGGCCTCCCAGACGCCCAAGATGGCCTCCAAGACGGCCCTGGAGCATTCCAAGCG